CTCCTCCTCCTCCTCAAGCAAGCAACGTGGGCTCGAGCCTCGCAGGAGCCCAGTCCTCCACAACCTCACGCGATGCTTCGGGGACACTGGGCAAGGTACCTATCCATGCAATCCCACCAGCCCTTTGGGCGACAGGTGGCCCAGCATTGACTTTCTTTCCTTTTCCAAAAACCCTTCTTCCCCTTCGGAGAGGGTTGATCACTCTTCCCTTTTGATAAACACCCCCTCCCCCACCCGGCCGGCAGCCAACCTGGAACCATACGCGCACCATGAGGGCACCCCCCTCCACCATCCCTGCCAAAAAACACTACAAAACGCACTCTGCCTCCAAATTCGGAGCATGCGCAACCAACCCGATGCGGGCCCCCCACACCATCCCTGTCAAAAAACAATACACGGTACACTTTGGGGCAAAGTCTGGAGTCATGTTCGTGAGGCCCGCGGGTACTTCGTATTGTTTTTCGACAGGGACAGCGGGGGTGACAGCATATTACCTGCTGCGCGCAAGGCTACCATCCCTGACAAACACACAATACAAAATGCACCTCGCGGTTAGAGGATAGTGCGCGGCCACCCCGCGATCATTGTCAAGTGGTTTTTGTCAGGGACGGCGGGGATGGTGGCGTATGGCCTGCTGTGCGCAGGCCCACCAGACACAATGATGGGCATTGGTTTTCGGCATGGATGGTTGGGGCCGACATGCTTCCCGATGTGTGCTGTCACGTGCGCAGGCGCACCTGACACACTCTGCACGTGTCCGGAACGTGGCGCACCTAGCGCGGTTGGAGGGAGCATCTGACGCACCAGGCGTGCCTGGCACGCTCGGGCCCCAGGGGTGCCTGGCGCGCGTGGCGCGCCTGGCACGCGTGGCGCACCTCGCCCCAGCGTCGCGCATATGGGCTCGGTGTTGCTTCCCAGTAGCTGTTCATGAAAAGGACGACCGCGGAACATGCTGAGGTTCGGGTGTTACTTGTGTGTCGGGAGGGAGGGTGGGAGTGAGCTAGACGGCTTGCTATCTTGACACCTCACCCTACCCCCCCCCCTAGACCTGGACGGGAGGGACCGCGGTCCGTTGGAGCGTCCAAGGTCGGCCCCTGGGAAGGCCAGTTTTTGACAACCCTCACGAGGATCGTGGCCCCCGAGGGGGGGGCGCCGATCGGGGACCCTCCCTCCTTGGATCGATAGCCTCGAAGATGGCCCTAAGAGGCGCTCCAAGGCTCCCAAGAGAGCCCCAAGAGAGCCCCAAGAGGGCTCCGAGAAGGTTCCCCAGAGGGCCCCAAGAGGCACCCGAGAGGCACCCAATAGGTCCCCGAGCGGTCTCAGAGAGGCCAAGATGACCTCCAAGATGGCTCAGATAGCCCAAGCTGGCTCAAGATGGTTCCCGATATGCTCCAAACAGCCCCAAGACCGCTCCAAGAGCGCTCCAAGAGAGCCCCAAGAACCGGTTTGTCGGCTCCTGAAGGGGGGAATTGAATTGGGGACCCCCCCATCCTGTAATCGATGGCCTCCAAGATGATCTCAAGAAGCCTTCCAGGGTCACCAAGAGGGTTCCAAGAGGGCCCCCAAAACTCCCAGAGAGCACCAGCAGCAACAGCAGCCGCAAGAATCTCTGGATGGTTCCACGAATCCTCATCCGCGTCGTCCTCATCCTAGTCCTCGTCCTTCTCGTCCTCGTCCTCGTCCGCGTCCTGGTCCTCCTCGTCCTTCTGGTCCTCATCCTTCTCCTCCTCCTCCTCCTCCTCCTCCTCCTCCTCCTCCTCCTCCTCCTCCTCCTCTTCCCCTCGCCCCCACGCCGCACCCAGGGATTGCCCGAACAGACCTTCCAAGGCCACCCCCTTGCCCGCTATGTTTCCCTAAATGTGCCTCTTCGTCCCTTTTCCCGTCAGCTCTGAAGGGCAGGGTTTCTGAATGGGCTGGTGGGGATACGTTTTGGTCAACAGGCTCGCGAGGCGGGTCGAAAGCCGTCCGGACACTAGTCGGGCCGCGACTAGGCAGCAGGAAAAGAAAGGCAAGCGAAGCGAGCGAGCGGGCAGCCACTCAGAAGGAGAGCCAGAACCGATACTCCCAAACCCGGTGGCGTGGAAATCCCGGTGGCGACCAGCAAGTAAGCGGCTGGTGGGGATACTTTTTTCGGTCGCGTCCACGAGCGAGAGCGCAGGCGGAGTCAGAAGCGTTCCGGGACACGGTAACGGCCTAATTAGCTACTAAACGCGCCGCAGGCCGGCCGGCCCACTCACCAAGCAGCAGCGGGGCTGCGCGGGAAAGCAGACGGGCTGAGGGCATCCAGGGAAGCTCAGGCACGTGCACCCAAGCAAAATGCCAGGAAATTTGGGGTATGTGCTCGGTGATGAAAATCGAAATTCAACAATGAATCGCCACGGTCGTCCTCCGTGAATGTGAACTACCGTGAAGAACAAGTTCAGTAGAGTGGCTTGTTCCACGGGCGCAACAGCGCCCACGTGGTCGGGGTTCAACGGCGCCTGTGCGTACATCTGGTCTTTCTGCTTGTCTGGAGCTGGCTATGTGTGGTCGCGGACTTCGTGTATATGTACTTCGACATGGTGTTCGCTTCAACGTCTTGACAGGCCGCCCTCGTGGTATGGGCTGGCCCCTTCTGCTTGGCCGTGGGCTTTGTTCGTGAACATCCAACTCCAACTACCCGTTCAGTGTCTTGGCAGACTTCAGAGGTTCCACAGCGCCCGCGCGGCATGGCCTGCCCCCCCTTCGGGGTTCCAACAGCGCCCGCGAGTACAAATGCCCCTTCTGCTAGGCTGGACCTGGTTATGCCATTGCCTCGCCGTCGGTCCATATTCGTGGACATGCTCGAGAACCACGTGCAATGTCTTGGCATGTGTCAGGGGTTTAATAGTGCACGTCCTGTGCCTTGGCATGGTCCAGGCGTTAAACAGCGCCCTCGTGGTCTTGGCTGCCTCCACTCGGGGTTCCGCAGCGCCCGTGGGTACAGCTGGTGCTCATTCGGCTTGGCTAGACCTGGCTATGTGCAGTGCTGGCCATACCACGCGAATGTGTACTTCCATGCTACGTATGGCGGTGGGCAGTGCCAGCTCGCTGCCTGTGGCAAGCTCGTTTGAGGCGCGCCGTACACCATGATGTAATCCTTACAAGCTAGGTTCGCGACAATGCCCCTTTTGATGCCGCTTGTGCCCGGCAATGTCCATGATACGCAACGCTCCCTATGGAAGAAACATAGGCAGCACCTTCTGAAGGTTTCGTGCGGTACTGCAGGGTATCCCATCACACACATCTGACGCAAGTCTTGTCTGCATGGTGCGTTACATGCTTTGCGGCCCGCGAGGCGCATGCGTCTTCCCACTTCCTCGACGTCCTCCTCCTCATCATCAGCAGCAGCATCAGCATAAGCATCAGCATCATCATCATCAGCATCATCATCATCACCATCAGCATCAGCATCAGCATCAGCATCAGCAGCCATATCATCAGCATCAGCAAAATCATCATCACAACTAGCATCAGCCTCCGCATCAGCATCAGCATCAGCATCATCAGCATCATCAGCATCATTAAAATCAGCATCGTCATCGTCAGCAGCATCAGTATCAGCATGATCAGCATCATCCTAAACAGCATCATCAGCAGCAGCATCATCATCAGCATCATCATCAACATCATCATCAGCATCATCATCATCATCATCATTCCCCTCCTGCCCTTCCCCCTTCTCCTCCTCCTCCTCCTCCTGGTCATCATCCTCATTCCTCCCTCCTCCTCCTCCTCCTCCTCCTCATCCTTCCTCCTCCATGTTTCCTTCGCCTTCCTCCTTCCTCCTTCCTCCTAGCGCCGCGCACATTCGTTCAAACAAATTGCAAGAAAAATGTGCAAGGGCTTCACGGATTGAGGGCGGCTCCTTTCCAAAACGTGGCGCTCGCCTAAGCTTCCCGCGCATTCGTGCTTAAACTTTGAAAGATGTTCACGGATTCCCATGATCGTGCACCAGAAATGGTGTTTGGGAGGGGTTCAGGATTATGAGGGTGCAACAATTACGCTGGTTCGCGGTGTTGAAGTCCCCGGAATGGTGCTGTGGCACGATTCAAGGTCGTTGTGACGCAACAGTCGGGTTGATCCGTGGTGTTCGAATCCCGAGAACAATGTTTTGGCATGCTTCAGAGTCTTCAAACGGTTGTTTTCCGACGAGGCAGCTCCCTCAGTGGAAATGAGCCGTTGTATCGGGCCTATGCGGAGGGAGCTTGGAGGGAGGGTTAACTCAAACATCATTGATAGCTCTTGGATTTCCTCTGGTCCTCCTCCTCCTCCTCTTCCTCCTCCTCATCCCCTCCCACATCCTCATACTTGCCGCCTCCTCCTCCTCCTTTTCTTCCTCCTCCTCCTCTTCCTCCTCTTCCTCTTCCTCTCCTACCTCCTCCTCCTCCTCTTCTTCTTCTTGCGGATCCGATTCTCATTATGGTTCGTACTAAGTACTAGTATCACTCTTCTTCCGAATGTGATGATTAGTTTTACGTGTATTGATATTATTATGCTTAGTAGTTACCTGCATGTTTGTAGCATTCGAGTGATCACCCTTCTTAGTAGTATTCATAGTATGATTATGTGTTTTACTCTTGTTACTAGTCGTCATACTTTTTGGTCGTAGTATTATTACTCTCCTTCTGCTTACTCTTATCAATACGTTTATCCCTATTATGATTATTCCTCATTTTCCTCCTCCTATTCCTCCTCCTCCCCCCCTCCTCCTCCTCCTCATCTCTTCCTCCTCCTCCTTTCCTCCTCCCTCTTCCTCCTCCTCCTCTTCGTTATCCTCCTCCTCCTCCTCCTCCTCCTCCTCCTCCTCCTCCTCCTCCTCCTCCCTCCTCCTCCTCCTCCTCCTCCTCCTCCTCCTCCTCCTCCTCCTCCTCCTCCTCCTCCTCCACCTGATCACGGTCGTCTTCTCACTCACCCTTTTGCCCCCAAATCTTCCTTCCCCGGGCCCTTTTCTTCCCGACCGGGCGCGGGTTGCGGCTGTCCGTTCTGCATGCCGCACGTTAAGCGCGCAGACCTGCAACGGCAGTTGGCCCGTGGCCTCGTCGGGCACGTTGGCGCTGGCGCCAGCGCGCAGGAGGTCCTGGTGGGGATGGGCGAGAAAGACGACGAGGGCGAGGAGGCAGAAATAGAGAAGGAGCAAGAGCAGCAAGGAGCAGGCACGCTGCCGCATGCGCCAGCGACCAGGTCATCACGGAGACTGGCCAGGAGAAGGACGAGGCGGCGAATCCCGCTCTAGCGAAAAGCTAGATATGGGCACTAACTATCGGCGAATTGGCCGGCGAGCAGAGAGGGGGGGGGCGGCCGAGAGGAAGAAGGGACGCTCAGACGTCCAAGAGTTCGACGGTGAGCAGCCGGGGGGGAGCAGCAGCAGCCAGGCGCGCAGGGCCAGAGCGCGGTGGGCGACCGTGGCGAACCACGGTGGCAAGGGTGGCGGGAGTGCGGCAGCCAGCGGCTGGAGCTGGCGGGCGGGCGCACTGGGACACCACGAACGGCTCACCGCGGCGCGCCGAGGAGTGTGCACAGCACTGAGCCGTGCGGAGGCAGGAGCATCGGCAGGATGGTTGGCAGTGACAGGGGTACTGGGCGTGATCGCCCAACGCCAATGGCCAGGGTGCCGGGAGAGATGGGGCGGGGGCGGCGGGCGAAGCGTCCCAGGCGCCCGCAGGCGGCGGGGCGGAACAGCAACGCAGGGAGGAGGAAGCGCGGGGCAGCCAGACCGGAGTGGCGGCGACCGCCCAAGGCCGCGCCACGGGGCCAGAAGGCAGAGAGGGGCAGGTGGCGACGGGCGAAGCGTCCCGGGCGCCCGCAGGCAGCGGGGCGGAACAGCATCGCAACGGGAGGAGGCAGCGCGGGGCTGCCGCGGAAGGAGGGGGGCACCGAGGGCGCGGAAGCCGGGCCCCTCGCTTTGTTTCGCGGCCCCGTTGCAGCCCTTCGTGGCCCCCTCGCTTTGTTTCGCGGCCCCGTTGCAGCCCCTCGTGGTCTCCTCGTTGCCCTTCGTGGCCCCGTTGCAGCCCTTCGTGGTCCCCTCGCTTTGTTTCGTGGCCCCGTTGCAGCCCTTCGTGACCCCCTCGCTGCCCTTCGTGGCCCCGTTGCAACCCTTCGTGGCCCCATCACTCCCCTTCGTGGCCCCGTTGCAGCCCTTCGTGGCCCCCTCGCTGCCCTTCCTGGCCCCATATATGCATGCCCTTCGTGGCTCCCGCTCGTTCGCGCCCGTGGTGGCCTGGTGGCCCCATATGCATGCCCTTCGCGGCTCCGCCGTCGCCATTCGCGGCCCCCTCGATGCCCTTCGTGGCCCCGTTGCTGCCCTCAGTGGCCCCGTCCTTGCCCCCCGCGGCCCAACATGCGCATGCCCTTCGTGGCCCCGGTTCGTTCGCGCCCGTTGTGGCCCCATGTGCATGCCCTTCGTGGCCCCGCTGTCGCCGTTTGTGGCCCCCTTCACTGTCCTACGTGGCCCAGTTGCTACCCTCAGTGGCCCGGCCCCCGCTCTTTCGCGCTCTTCGGGGCCCCATGTGCATTCCCTTCGTGTCCCCGCTGTCGCCTTTCGTGGCCTAGTTCGTGTCTTTCGTGGCCCTGCTGTCGTTTTCTCTCGCTCTCGCTTTCGCTCGTCGTCGTCGTCGCCGTCGTCGTCGACGCCGCCGTCGTCGTCGTCGTCGTCGTCGTCGGTCCCTTGTCCGTCTCTCTTGGGGTCGGGTCGACGGTCCGCGGCCGCCACGCTGATCAGCGCTGCCGCTGGCCAGGCCGACGGTCCGTGGCCGCCCCGCCGCTTGCCGGGGCCCGGCTTGCAGGGAAGAAAAGTATACCCCCCAAAAGGGGTTCGATCAAAGACGAAGAGGGCGGGTATCGAGGGCTTGGGAAATACGCGTTATTGGACACTCGAGCTAAGGGCGAAGAGTCTTAAAATGATTGTTGTTGTTGTTGAATTCCCACTTCTGGAAAACAAGTGGCACGCGTGCCCTGGCTCTTGCACCAAGGAGCCGCGAGAGACAGGAGGCTTTCGCCTCCTTCCTCCAGGAGTTTACTTTTGTGGCCGTAGGGGGGAGGACGACGACGAACGAACGAACGACGACGACGAGCGAAAATAAAGAGGTCCGAACTCTAGAGCACAGCTGTGCAAGAGAATAAAGGCTTCGGCGGCCCAGGGGGGCTGCCCTGGGAGGCCCGTGGGCAGGAGGGGTCCAGGGCCCAGGGAAGCAGGGGCAGGCCAGCGGGTGATCCTGGGAGGCTCGGGGGAGGGGGGGGTCCAGGGCCCGAGGTGGCCAGGGAGGACGACGAACCACGAACGAACGAACCACGAACGAATAAAGGCTTCGGCGGCCCAGGGGGGCTGCCCTGGGAGGCCCGGGGGAGGAGGGGTCCAGGGCCCAGGAAGCAGGGGCAGGCCAGCGGGTGATCCTGGGAGGCCCGGGGGAGGGGGGGGGTCCAGGGCCCGAGGTGGCCAGGGAGGACGACGAACCACGAACGAACGAACCACGAAAATAAAGGCTTCGGCGGCCCAGGGGGGCTGCCCTGGGAGGCTCGGGGGAAGGAGGGGTCGAGGGCTGAGGGAAGCAGGGGCAGGCCAGCGGGTGATCCTGAGAGGCCCGGGGGAGGGGGGGGTCCAGGGCCCGAGAGGGCCAGGGAGGACGACGAACCACGAACGAACGAACCACGAAAATAAAGGCTTCGGCGGCCCAGGGGGGCTGCCCTGGGAGGCCCGTGGGGAGGAGAGGTCCAGGCCCCAGGGAAGCAGGGCAGGCCAGCGGGTGATTCTGGGAACCCCGGGGGGGGTGCAGGGCCCGAGGTGGCCAGGGCAGGCCAGCGGGTAATCCTGGGAGGCTCGGGGGAGGGGGGGGTCCAGGGCCCGAGAGGGCCAGGGAGGACGACGAACCACGAACGAACGAACCACGAAAATAAAGAGGTCCGAGCTCTAGAGCACAGCTGTGCAAGAGAAGGAAGGCTTCGGCGGCCCAGGGGGGCTGCCCTGGGAGGCCCGGGGCAGGAGGGGTCCAGGGCCCAGGGAAGCAGGGGCAGGCCAGCGGGTGATCCTGGGAGGCCGGGGGAGGGGGGGGTCCAGGGCCCGGGAGGTGAGGAGGACGAACCACGAACGAACGAACCACGAAAATAAAGGCTTCGGCGGCCCAGGGGGGCTGCCCTGGGAGGCTCGGGGGAAGGAGGGGTCGAGGGCTGAGGGAAGCAGGGGCAGGCCAGCGGGTGATTCTGGGAGGCTCGGGGGAGGGGGGGGTCCAGGGCCCGAGGTGGCCAGGGAGGACGACGAACCACGAACGAACGAACCACGAAAATAAAGGCTTCGGCGGCCCAGGGGGGCTGCCCTGGGAGGCTCGGGGGAAGGAGGGGTCGAGGGCTGAGGGAAGCAGGGGCAGGCCAGCGGGTGATCCTGAGAGGCCCGGGGGAGGGGGGGGTCCAGGGCCCGAGAGGGCCAGGGAGGACGACGAACGAACGAACGAACGAGCGACCACGAAAATAAAGGCTTCGGCGGCCCAGGGGGGCTGCCCTGGGAGGCCCGTGGGGAGGAGAGGTCCAGGCCCCAGGGAAGCAGGGCAGGCCAGCGGGTGATTCTGGGAACCCCGGGGGGGGTGCAGGGCCCGAGGTGGCCAGGGGCAGGCCAGCGGGTAATCCTGGGAGGCTCGGGGGAGGGGGGGGTCCAGGGCCCGAGAGGGCCAGGGAGGACGACGAACCACGAACGAACGAACCACGAAAATAAAGAGGTCCGAGCTCTAGAGCACAGCTGTGCAAGAGAAGAAAGGCTTCTGCGGCCCAGGGGGGCTGCCCTGGGAGGCCCGGGGGCAGGAGGGGTCCAGGGCCCAGGGAAGCAGGGGCAGGCCAGCGGGGATCCTGAGGCCCCAGGGCCCGAGGGGCCAGGGAGGTCCAGGGCCCGAGAGGGCCAGGGAGGCCAGCGACGGGAACCACGAACGAACGAACCACGAAAATAAAGGCTAAAGGCTTCGGCGGCCCAGGGGGGCTGCCCTGGGAGGCTCGGGGGCAGGAGGGGTGAGGGCTGAGGGAAGCAGGGGCAGGCCAGCGGGTGATTCTGGGAGGCTCGGGGGGGGAGGAGGTCCAGGGCCCGAGGTGGCCAGGGAGGACGACAAACCACGACCGAACGAACCACGAAAATAAAGGCTTCTGCGGCCCAGGGGGGCTGCCCTGGGAGGCCCGTGGGGAGGAGAGGTCCAGGCCCCAGCGAAGCAGGGCAGGCCAGCGGGTGATTCGGGGAACCCCAGGGGGGGGGGTGCAGGGCCCGAGGTGGCCAAGGGCAGGCCAGCGGGTAATCCTGGGAGGCTCGGGGGAGGGGAGGGTCCAGGGCCCGAGAGGGCCAGGGAGGACGACGAACCACGAACGAACGAACCACGAAAATAAAGAAGTCCGAGCTCTAGAGCACAGCTGTGCAAGAGAATAAAGGTTTCTGCGGCCCAGGGGGGCTGCCCTGGGAGGCCCGCGGGGAGGAGAGGTCCAGGCCCCAGGGAAGCAGGGCAGGCCAGCGGGTGATTCTGGGAACCCCGGGGGGGGTGCAGGGCCCGAGGTGGCCAAGGGCAGGCCAGCGGGTAATCCTGGGAGGATCGGGGGAGGGGGGGGTCCAGGGCCCGAGAGGGCCAGGGAGGACGACGAACCACGAACGAACGAACCACGAAAATAAAGAGGTCAGAGCTCTAGAGCACAGCTGTGCAAGAGAATAAATATTGCTGATCCCCCCATCACCGGTGCATGCTGCTTTTCTCAATCAAAAATGCACCCCTCGACGCTCGCACCGTGTTTTTTATATGGAAAATATGGGTGTTCAAACTGTGCCCCTGGCCCCCCTGATTACAACAATAACAACAACAAACGGCTCCCGCCTGAGATTTCCTCGAAATTTGCTCAGAACCCCCGCTCTTGAGATTTCCTCCAAATGTACTCAGGATCGGTGCTCCCACCTGTGACCCCTTCGCAATTTAGTCAGGACCCCCGCTCCCATCTGAGACTTCCTCACCAGTTACTCAGGAACGGCGCTCCCGCTTAAGACTTCATCGCAATTGAATCAACACTTCCTCGCAATTTAATCAAGACCCTCGCCCCCGCCAGAGAACCTTTCACATTTCATTCAGGAGTTGCGCTCTCGCCTGTGAGTTCCATGCAATGTATTCAGGAATCGCACTTTCGACGCTCAGGAAACACGCTGCCTTAAGGACGCCGTCACAATGTTCTTAATAATCGCGCTCTCGCCATACTCAGGCATCCCGCTTGAATGTCCCACCCGCCCGACCCGCCCGTCAGGGGATCGCCCGCCCGTCGTGGGCTTCCGCCCCAAACTTCCTTCAGGAAGGGCGCTTTCGCTGAGGACTTCCTCGAACGTTCACGCTCTTACCTTCCTGCTCCTCCTCCCTCCTTCCCCCCTCCTCCCTCCTCTCCTCCCTTTTCTCTCCCTCCTCTCTTCCCTCATCCTTGTACCTCTCTGCCTTATCCACTCTCCCTCCTCTCCCTCCTCCCTTCTCCCTCCCCCCTCCTGCCTCCTCCCTCCCTCTTTCTGTGTTTCTCTCTCTCTCTCTCTCTCCACTCTCTCTGTTTTTTTCTCTCTCTCTCTCTCTCTCTCTCTCTCTTTCTCTACCTTTCTTATATGTCTTTCTCTCTCTCTCTCTTGTTCTCTCTCCTTCTCTCTCTCTCTCTCTCTCGTTCTCTCTCTCTCTCTCTCTTTCTCTCTCTCTCTCTCTCTCTCTCTGCCTCTAATCAACCGCCCCCCTCTTCGCTCCTTCTCTCCTGGCGTTTTCCCTCTTCCTTCATCCCTCCCCCTCCCTTCCTCCCACTCTCCCTCGTTCTCCACCTCCTCTTTTTGCATGGCCGACAGCAAGTCCAATGGCGGGCACATGTACGCCCACGAAGGATTGTCCACCCGTTCAGGTTTGCCCGCCTGTCTAAGCCCGCCGCCCCCCGCAAAAAGAAAGAATCCCCACAAAGGGGGTGTGATCGAAGACATAAAGGGCGGGTATCGAGGGTGTGGGGAACTCGTTTTGAATGACACGCGGGCAAGTAAGAGCGAACAGTCTTAGAATGATTGTTGGTGTTGTTGCTGTTATTGTTGTTGCTGTTTGGGGGCCGGTTTCGGCGCAACCCCGAAACGCCTGAGCGTGAGCCTTATTTCAGAGGAAATGCAGCCGGCACCGCGGCGAGAGCGCCAGTGCGGATGTAGGGTGTCCCAGAATAACAAGTTTCTAACAGTTCAGGCTCAACATGGACTAGGAAAGCCTCAGGGCTTGTGGGAGTCCTGAATACAAGCGGAACAAAAAAATATCGAACGGAAGCGTCGTTGTTTGCAGGGGGGCCGCTTGCGGCGCCGAGGCGGGAGCGCTGGTCCTATGGAAAAACAAGGAAATCTCCAGCGGGAGCGCCGGTCTTGTGAGAAAGCCAGCTGTCGGCTGCGAGCACTAGTATCGAGCGGGAGCGTTGCTGTTGTTGGGGGGCTGGTTTCGGCGCACCCCCGAAACGCCTGAACGTGAGCCTAATTTTCAAAGGTGAAGCAGCCGGCGCCAAGGCGAGAACGCCAGGGAGCCTCTAGGGGGTCCAACAATAATCATTGTTCAGTACTTCGGGATCAACAGCGACAACAACAAACACAACAACAGTAACAAGGACAACAGCAACAACGACTTCAACAACAACAGCAAAAACAACAACAACAACAACAACAACAACCACCAACAACATCAACAACGGCAGCAGCACCAGCAACAGCAACAGCAGTAACAACAACAACACCAACACCACCACCAACAACAACAACACCAACACCAACACCAATACCAACAACAACAACAACCAACACCAACAACACCAACAGCAACAAAAACGACAACAGCAACAAAAACAACAACAGCAACAACAACAGCAGCAGCAACAACAACAACGACTTCAACATTCATGTCAAGACTGTTCGTTCCTATCCTGTCGCGTGCCAGTCAGCATGTATATCTCAAACCCGCGGTAACCCGTCCTCTTCTTCGATCGTACCTCCTTGGGGGTATATATGTGTGTGAATATATATATATATATATATATATGAATATGAATATATATATATATATGTATATATACATACATACATACATACATACATACATACATACATACATACATACATACATACATACATACATACATACATACATACATACATATATACACACACATATATATATGTATTACCTGCAATGTGTACTTCGTGCAGCCCCTACAACAGAGGAAGAGAAGACGGATGGAAGGGGGAGGGACAAGGGTGGAACACACGCAAAAATTCGGAGGGGGGCTAGGAGCAGAAAACACGAGGCAGAACCAGACGGGCAGATCGGGCGGGCAGACCCTAGCGGGCGGGTCGGGAAGGCGGGCCCAGGCGGCCTGGTCGACATGGCGGGTTGCTGAAGCTTGAGTCCTGCGTGAATCGCGAGGAAGTCTCGAGCGATAACGCGATATCCAAGTAAATCGTGAGAATGGCCAAAGCGAGAGCATGATTCCTGAGTGTCGAGGTCGAGGCGTCTGAATACATGGCGAGGAAATCCCACTCGGCCCACTCGAGCGCGCGATCCATGTATGAAGTATGAGGAAGTCCTGCGCGAGAGCTCGATTTTGAAATAATTGTGAGGGCATATCAGGCGGGAGCCGTTGTTGTTGTAGTTCGGAGCCAAACAACGCAGTTTGAGCAGGAAGACTGCCCCTGATAGAAAACAAGGTGCGAGCTCCGAAGGGTGCACCCTGATTGAAACAAATCATAATGTGCACCAGTGGAGGGGTATCAAAAATAGTTGTTCTGCAAGAGTGAAAGGTCAACATGAACAACAACAAAAAAACACCTGTGTACAAATAATGATACACCTTCAAAGAAAACAACAAAAAAAACACGACAAACAAAAACTAACGACGAGGAAGAATAAACGGAATGTTAGCATCAAGCGACGTGAGCAATGGGAAAGTTCAAGGACAGATGATAGGAAACAACAAAAACGGGGGGGGAACGCTATGATCGCTAAGGTTCTGGGAAATGAGAGTGGTAGAGGAAGAGGAATGGACGCGGTGAAGATGAACGACGCACGATTGATGGGATGGACCGAGGGCGAGAGAACACGAGCAACGACCAGTCGCCTTGTCGAGAAGGAGATGGTCCAGTCAGATCCACTGATCTCTCGGAGCTGTTCCCATTCGTATATTCATGATGGGCGACCAACAATGAAGTGGCAAAGCGGCAAAACAAACGACCTGGAGAAGAAGGGAAGCACCCAGCAAGTGCAACCCAAACGTGATGACAGCGTGCGACAGTCATGAATTAAGACTACGACGCACAACTCACTTGAGATGACACGCGTGTTAAAGCGGCAAAAGAGAATCGTGGCAATAACGTTTCGCGGCCCCGCGCACGATGGGTGTTACTTCCATTCGTCCCCTGGTCCTGCATGACCTCGGACGACTCCACCCGTGCCGACGCACAAGCCCTCTGCAGCTTCCGCCCGAGGGTGACAGCCTCCACTGCAGAAACGGTCCAGGGGGGGCAGCGTGACAGGATGACAGAGAGACAGCAAAGCAAGAAAAAGTGAACGAAAGAGGAGAGCCATGTAAGGAAAAGAAGAGGAATACCTCATATACCTACCACCATTCGGATAACAAGGCGGTCGGGGAGGATGAGGCAGCTGTCGGTCTGCGATAGGCGTCCGATCGGATTCGCATTGTATCTCTCGACCTCGCTATCGACCGTATACACACACCGCACTGTCTGCCTCTTGACCGCAGGATCGATCTACCGAACTCACTACAGAACTCACAGTTTCAATATCGATCGCATTCAACTGCCTATCTATCGATGCCAAGATCAATATAGCGATTGGCCTCTCGACCACTGGCCGAACTGCCTACATGCATTGTCTAAGTGAGCTATGTATCCCGGCACTTCGAAGACTTACACGTTATCCCCATTGCGGTATGCATCCCTGTTTCAATTTCGATATGAATTGCGATCGCCACTGGATCGCAATGGGGGTTCAAATTCGATGTGCGTCTCGGTTCACAGGTATCGGAGATTGGGGGGTGAGATCGCAGTGTAACGGAGTCCCCCCACCGGGAAATCGAGTTTCGAGTTCGTGCTCGTGCCGTGCGTGCGGGAGAGGCGAAGCTGCGTGGGCCAGCGAGAGGAATTCACTCTGCTGTCGCTAGGGGTCCGCCAACACAAATGTTTCCCCCCCCCAGCCTTGTCAAGCGGTAGCCCACGTTGTCCCGTCGGTTGCCCGCCGGTTGCTCATCATGGTTGCTCATCATGGTTGCTCATCATGGTTGCTCATCATGGTTGCCTATCATCGCCCATCAGCACCACGTTCATCACAGTTGTCGTCATGAGCCACCCCCCTCCCCCCACCCCCCCACAACCTCCTTATCACCCGCAGGGTGGTCGTACAGGTATTTGTATTTCGATGTCGTTTCCAATTGCAATTAGACTTCCATGTCGATGCAAATTTCGAAGTGCATGTCGAAAAGTATGGATGTCGATGTGCCTTTCGATCACAATTCGATGTGCATATCGAATTTTGTGTGTGTGTGTCAATACGTATGTCGACTTCTACTTAGAGCTGCATTTCGATTGTAAACGGATTCGCATGTTCATTTGCATTCCGACTGGCATGTCGATTGCGAGAGGGTAAATAATCATCCGCCACCGTGCCTCTTGGCACGGAGTGGGCGTGTCCTCAGGTCCCTTTGACCAATCCCTGGAGCCTCAGTCCTCCGTCCTGAGGAGTTTTTAAGGGGCCCGGACCCAAATTTCCGAAATCTCCTGGGGGTTCCCGCGTGCATTCTGCGCTCCGGCGCGTCCCCCCTGGGCTCTGGCGCGTCCCCCCGCGTGACTTTTGGGGCCCAGTAGAGCCCTAGGACGGGCCCCAAGACGGGCCCCAAGAGGACCCGAAGACGGTCCAAGAAGGCCCCGAGTCGCCGAATAATCGATCGAAGACGCTCAAGATGGCACCCAGACGGCCCAAGAGGCCTCTCCAGGACACCCTAAGAGGCCTCCAAGAGGCCTCCCAAGAGGGGCTTAAGAGGCTCTTATCACTGAGTTTCTTTATTTCCCCACATCCAAAGTGGGGCTCTTGTTTTCTCTGGACACCCCGCGCAGGAACCTCCTCACCTCACCCCCTCTCCTCTTCTGTCTTCGTGCGCTCACTCACTCACTCACTCACTCACTCACTCACTCACTCATTCACTCACTCACTCACTCACTCACTCACTCACCCACTCATCAGCACTCACTCATTCACACGCTCATGAACTCACATATGATGATGATGAGTGTGCGCGTGAGAGAGAGTGATGATCATCATCATCACCAGTCAGTCAGTCAGTCAGTCAGTCAGTCACTCACTCGTCTTGGGCCTCGCCTGTCAGTGAATTGCGAGGAAGTTTCAAGCTGGAGCCCCCTCCCTATGGGGCCCGCGGATCATGTTACTAATCCGAGGAAGTCTCAAGCGGGAGCCCCCTCCCTATGGGGCCCGCGGATCATGTTACTAATCCGAACGGGTCATCCAATTCCTCTAACTGTCACCACTTTTGGGCTTTCGCGCTGCCAGAACGCCATTCCCAGGCGGATCATGTTACTAATCCGAGGAAGTCTAAAGCGGGAGCCCCCTCCCTATGGGGCCCGCAGATCATGTTCCTAATTCGAGCGGGTCATCCAATTCCTCTAACTGTCGCCACTTTGGGGCTTTCGTGCTGCCAGAACGCCATTCCCAGGCGGATCATGTTACTAATCCGAGGAAGTCTCAAGCGGGAGCCCCCTCCCTATGGGGCCCGCAGATCATGTTCCTAATCCGAGCGGGTCATCCAATTCCTCTAACTGTCGCCACTTTTAGGCTCTCGCGCTGCCAAAACGCCATTCCCAGGCGGATCATGTTACTAATCCGAGGAAGTCTAAAGCGGGAGCCCCCTCCCTATGGGGCCCGCAGATCATGTTCCTAATCCGAGCGGGTCATCCAATTCCTCTAACTGTCACCACTTTTGGGCTCTCGCGCTGCCAGAGCGCCATTCCCAGGCGGATCATGTCACTAATCCGAGGAAGTCTCAAGCGGGAGTTCCCTCCCTATGGGGCCCGCAGATCATGTTCCTAATCCGAGCGGGTCATCCAATTCCTCTAACTGTCGCCACTTTTGGGCTCTCGCGCTGCCAGAGCGCCATTCCCAGGCGGATCATGTCACTAATCCGAGGAAGTCTAAAGCGGGAGCCCCCTCCCTATGGGGCCCGCGGATCATGTTATCAATCCGAGCGGGTCATCCAATTCCTCTAACTGTCGCCACTTTTGGGCTCTCGCGCTGCCAGAACGCCACTCCCAGGCCACATTTTGAATGCCCGGAGCCAACTGTAGGCCACTTCGTGTTCTTCGTGCTCCAGAACACCATTCCCAGGCCACATTTTGAATGCCCAGAGCCAACTGTAGGCCACTTCGTGTTCTTCGTGTTCCCAGAACACCACTCCCGGGCCACATTCTGAATGTCCGGAGCCAACTGTAGGCCATTTTGTGCACGTCGTGTTCCCAGAGCGCTATTCCCGGCACGTATCCACTGGGACGCACCCATGTGCGCTTCCTCTGGGTCGTGCCACCGCACGTATCGTATCCACTGGGACGCACCCTGTGCGTTTCCTCTGGGTCGCATTCGGCACGTATCCACTGGGACGCACCCGACGATGATGATGGCGAGGTCGGGGGCAACGTAGGGAGCGGGGGGAGGGCCCGCGCCAGGGCGAGAAGAAATATACGCAGAAGAGACAGTCAGGACGCCTCACCAACCACGAGGACGACGGTGAGGGCTTTTTCCAGATTCGCCCAAGAGGATTCTCATGTGGGGTCCTTCCGTCGGAATAATTTTACAACTGTTTTTGGATTTCTCGCCGTTTCGGCTTCCCGAGGCGCAAGAGGCGCCCAAGACGGCTCAATAGGGCCCCAAAACCGCCCCAAAAGGCGTCAAAGAGAGGGAACGCAAACCGCGAACGCGAGCCTTCCGCCCCAAGAGGCCCCAAGAGGCCCAAGAGGTCCCCAAGAGACCCCCAAGAGGCCCCAAGAGGCCCCCAAGAGACCCAACTCCTCCTCCTCCTCCCCCTCCTCCTCCTCCTCCTCCTCCTCCTCCTCCTCCTCCTACTCCTCCTCCATCCGAAAGCCCCCATCCCCCTTCTCGCCCGCCATGGGCACACCAACACAGAGCAACAGTAGTGCACTTTGGGCCGGCAGAGTGAGCGAAGCAATAACTAACTCCTCCCTGTCGCATCGGGTGCTCTTTTGGGCCGTTTCCCGAAACTGCTCGGGCCCTTTCGTAGCCTTCTTGGACCCTTCAAGACCTTTTTCGACCCTCCAGGGCCGTCTTGGCCCACTCGCCCAAACTCCGCGCCAAGTTGGAACAGGGGCCGTCTCACCTCTCTCGCCTTCTGGTACGCAAGCTCAGTGGGGCTTCCGGAGACTCTCTGTGGCAGTCTTCGATCCCCGCCCCTCCCGCACTGT